ACACATTTTTTAAAAAGTCAAACATTTCATAGAACTTTTTTTTTTTTTGGCACCAGGGATTGAACTCAGGTAATCCCCAGCCCTCATAGAATTGTTTTACAAAATCTTTCCTATTTTGGTTGAATAACTCAAGATTTTAGAAGGAGAAAGAAAGAACATATATATTTCCCCACTAAATCTTGCAATTAATATTACTATATAACTTAGTAGACATTTATGAATACTTTAAAATGATAAACATTTGAAAATTTATTTCCTAACATTTTACTAATATCTAGTGAGAAAGCCAGAAATCAACTGTAAAAACTATTCAAATTAGGTCAGGGCTTGGGCTTGTAGACCAGTGGTAGAACCCTTTCCTATCATATGTGTGGTTGGGTTCAATACACAGTACTTTAAAAAAAAAAGAAAGAGATATCAGAGTATTTTATTCTGGTTCCAGTTCTTCTTAATTCTGTCCAAGTCCCTGGCCTAACATGTACTGCCCCCGTATCTTCCCAATACTCTAATTTAATAAAAGACTAAACAATTTTATAAAGCATACACTATTGCTAGCATATTTCTCAAAAATATAAAATTATACATGTCCCCAGATTAGTTTCCTAATCTTACCACAAATTATTGGTTCTAAACAACACGAACTTATTACCCTACAGTTCTAGAGGTCAGGAATCCAAAATGTGTCCCACAGGACTAAAATCAAGGCATCAGAGCTGTGTCCTCTTGAGAATCTACTCTCTTGCTTTCCCAGCTTCTATGGGCTTCATCTACTCCTCATCTCCTGGCCCCACATCGCTCCAAACTTCACTTATGACCACATTTCCTTCTCTGACTGCAACCTTCCTGTCTCTGCTTTATAGCAGCCACACTGGACCCATCAGGCTAACCCAGGCTAATCTCCCACCTCATGACGGTTAATGTGATGCAGAGTTCCTTCTGCTTTGCAAAGTAATGTATGCATGGGGTCCAGCTTTAGGATGCCATTGGGGAAGGGGCCATTTTTGGCCTTAAGCATCCCCAAGGGTCACTGATTCACTGACAGATGACTTTTTAATATACTAATGACAAAAGGGATATATTTTCATTCTCTGGGCTTGTCATTCCTATATTCAGAGCCTCTTTATAGTTCTACTGAGAACCTCTTTGGCGTTCATTCTACCACTTACTGCAAATGACTCATCGACTTATTTTCACTTCTGCTCTTTTATCTTCAGGTTAGGTTCATCGACTTATTTTCACTTCTGCTCTTTTATCTTATCAGGTTAGGTATTTGATTTACCATCTTAAATCAGAAGTTCTTAACTACCCTTTAGAGGTGAAAATATGAAGACCCATGAAGACACAGCAGGTGTCCAAAGTCAGAGGAAAATGGCTGCAAAGGTCACGGCTGGACTTGGAACTCAGGTCCCAGGGTCACAGTCATTCTGGGCCTTTTACCAACACATGTTTCTTATCACAGAACTTTTGTTGTGAACTTTATTTATGTTTTAATTTATTTATATTAATATGGTCAAAATAAAACCATTTAGGAATAGACAAAGCTCATGCTTAGAGAAAACTGGAGGAAAAAGACAATAAAAGCTATACCAATTATTTCATGTTAAGGTGGTAACTGTTACTTCTAAGTACTGCCAGACCTAATATTAAACACATTTTTTAAAAAGTCAAATATTTCATAGAACTTTTTTTTTTTTTGGCACCAGGGATTGAACTCAGGTAATCCCCAGCCCTCATAGAATTGTTTTACAAAATCTTTCCTATTTTGGTTGAATAACTCAAGATTTTAGAAGGAGAAAGAAAGAACATATATATTTCCCCACTAAATCTTGCAATTAATATTACTATATAACTTAGTAGACATTTATGAATACTTTAAAATGATAAACATTTGAAAATTTATTTCCTAACATTTTACTAATATCTAGTGAGAAAGCCAGAAATCAACTGTAAAAACTATTCAAATTAGGTCAGGGCTTGGGCTTGTAGACCAGTGGTAGAACCCTTTCCTATCATATGTGTGGTTGGGTTCAATACACAGTACTTTAAAAAAAAAAGAAAGAGATATCAGAGTATTTTATTCTGGTTCCAGTTCTTCTTAATTCTGTCCAAGTCCCTGGCCTAACATGTACTGCCCCCGTATCTTCCCAATACTCTAATTTAATAAAAGACTAAACAATTTTATAAAGCATACACTATTGCTAGCATATTTCTCAAAAATATAAAATTATACATGTCCCCAGATTAGTTTCCTAATCTTACCACAAATTATTGGTTCTAAACAACACGAACTTATTACCCTACAGTTCTAGAGGTCAGGAATCCAAAATGTGTCCCACAGGACTAAAATCAAGGCATCAGAGCTGTGTCCTCTTGAGAATCTACTCTCTTGCTTTCCCAGCTTCTATGGGCTTCATCTACTCCTCATCTCCTGGCCCCACATCGCTCCAAACTTCACTTATGACCACATTTCCTTCTCTGACTGCAACCTTCCTGTCTCTGCTTTATAGCAGCCACACTGGACCCATCAGGCTAACCCAGGCTAATCTCCCACCTCATGACGGTTAATGTGATGCAGAGTTCCTTCTGCTTTGCAAAGTAATGTATGCATGGGGTCCAGCTTTAGGATGCCATTGGGGAAGGGGCCATTTTTGGCCTTAAGCATCCCCAAGGGTCACTGATTCACTGACAGATGACTTTTTAATATACTAATGACAAAAGGGAGTTTCAGATAATAAAATAACAGTGAAATGATACTATTTTAATAATCAATATGTTACGAAATCCAAATCCTGTTGTCAAGGCAGTAGCTAACCTGCTGTTGAGTTTATTTTTAGCAGAAGTCAGTTGTTTTTGTTTTTTAAACAGGAATGTATCATCACCACATTGCTCCCCAATCTTATTTGTTATTTTAAATCTGGTAAAGGATGAATATAAAAAAGAAAGAGGGACAAAGGGAGCCAAAGTCACTTCTACGGTTTTTACTTTTCAAATTAGAACCTAAGATAGGAGGTTATCAAAACAGCAAGTATCAATTACAGCTGTAAAGTTAAAATTGCTTGAAGATAACTGTTGTCCTATGGGGATAAATACAACTAATGAGAATTTTCAAACAGGTATTTAATTAATATTTATTCATTACTGCTAAGATTCTAGACATAGGTCAGAATCCTACTTATAGCAAAAAGTATTAGTGATTCAAAGTCATCAACAAGTCTAACCTCAGTACAAGCAATGAGGCCCAGTAAACCAACAGCTGGCTTTGGTCCTGGGCCTACCCTTAATAGCCCGTGAGATGGAAAAAAATCACTAAGCCTCCCCAGTCTTTAACTGCACTGCTTATACAGTTAGGGTTATAGCAGACCTCGCAGTAACTAGACAATATGTACTGTTTATGTCACTGCTAACCTCCCAAGACAAGGGAATGGCAACCCAACTGGGACAAATGAAACTTACATTTAAATGGCTGCCTCTCTACAGCCATAAAATGAATTCCCTGGAAACCTCCCTTCCTGCTTTCCTCCTTTCTACCTCCCCCACAAATTAAGTATCAAATTACCATTCAATTCTAAATAAGAGATGGCTTATAATCAAAAGAATGTTCTATTGTTCATAATTTTTAATTAACATTAACGTTTCCAATTTGAACTATCCACTGACTTCAAAACTTCTCTTGGTACAAGAGATTTAAGTATACCTGAGTATCCCTTATCCAAAACGTCAAAATCTTCAGTGCTCCTAAATCTGAAACTTTGGTGGTACTGATACCATGTTCAAATAGTTTTTAGATTTTGGAGCATTTCAGATTTTACATTTTTGGATCAGGGATACTCAATTGGTAATAAAGCCTATGCATATATTCCAAAATCTGAAAGAAAAACAGAAATCAAAAATGAGCAGAAGTGCCCGAGCATTTCAGATAAGGGATACTCAGTCTGTCCCAATATGTTATCATTTGGAAATTAAGGTCCCCTTATTTTAGATATGAGCTGGGTGTTCCTTCCCAATAGCCTCTTCTCCCAAGTTAGTTTCCTCTTAGCTCCCAGGGCCATCAGCCACTCTGGCCCAGAGAACATCTCTGCAACACAGGATTAGTTAAAACCACTGACAAACATTCTCCAAGCTCAGCCTCTCTACTCCATAAAAACATATACTCCTCTACCAGAGCACTCAAAGGAGTTCTTTTATCTTTAGCCCCCTCTGCCTATAGCTGTAAACATTAGAAGCTTAGCTTCATCGGGTTCTTTCAGAGGCAAAGACCATCTTAATTTTATCGATCAAAAATAGAAAGGAAAAAATTTCTGCCCAGAAAAATAAGGGATAAAGTTTGGGAAGTGCTGATAACTGTAGTCTAGAAAACACGTGAAGAACTTTACCTTTAGCTGGCCCATGATGTCGAAGCAGCTGACTGTCTTACCATGCAAGAGACTAAGGTTCAGGGTCAGACTAACGGTTCTGACGTCCTGCGCTGGACACACAGTTGAAGAGAGACACCAAGGACGGCGGCCAGCCCAACCCCTCACACAGCATCCCTTCCTGGTTAATCCGCGGTGTGACAATGATACTGACTGGCCTCGTCCTGCCAATGAATGGCAAGGCACTGCAATGACGGCGCCTAGAAATGAACAGGAGTGATTGGGAATAAAAGGGGGAGGGGGAAAGGTGGCCGTGATGAAGAAATGAATAAAACTCCAAATTTCCCTTACACCTCACTGTCCTACCTACTATGCTGATATCATAATGACAGGCGCAACGGGAAAAAAAGGAAAAAAAGAAAGCAAAGGGAAAACTGCTAACCTATTTAAATTTATGCAGCTTTCAGAGAATTTGAGTTTTTAACCTACAGCCTGACTACATATAACTACAGCAAGAGGTTGATTCAGTTTAGCTCATAAGCCTGCAACAGTATTTTTGTCATTAGTGTTTCTAAATTCTGATGATTCAGTTTCACTTTTCATTATAGCAAATACTCAACCCACAGTATTAAAACAGATCATACTTACCAAACAATTCCTTGGGCTCCAGAGCCAATTGGTTTCAACTGCTGATAACGTTTTAGGACAGTGAAAGTTGAGTCTGCCACTTGCACACTGTAAAACTGACTATCACATTTACTGTCACTCATGATGTAGTGTCATACAATATCCCAAAGAGCTGGTACTGTTGACAAGATTCCTTAAAAGAGAAACAGAATAAATGTGCATTCTTACAGAAATATCCACTCACAGCTCGCACATTTATTGCGATATAAGACAATGTGGCTCTAAGTTCCTAAACTTAGTTTGACCAAGTTCTGAACTTAAGCGAGACCAGTACAAAAGGAAGGGATTTTGAGGAACAGCAAAATCACATATTAAAGGACTGCATAAGAAAGTAAGAATTTTCAGAGAAAAAAATTATACATCATTACTAGCCATGCCATAAATGCTTCTCAGCAGTTTGCTTCTTAGAGGACCAGCTAAAGTCTAGCAGTCTCAACCAGAGCTGGGAATATTATTTCAGAATGACTGCCTCTAGAAGTCCTGAAGGAAAGCAAACTGACCAGATCCTCTAAGTACACACATTCAGGTTAAAGCGATGAACCGGAAAGCAACATTCACACGCCAGAGTGACAGGCCATGAGGACTGGTGCTACTGCTGTGCTCTACACACCCAGACAGGCCCGTTTCATGAAGGTGGGAGATGGCTTGCATCCCTTGCATCCCACAAACTCTGCTGTGTCCCCACAACAGAAGATAGTAACACTACAAAGAGATTATTTATGTATGAGTATAAACTGGCAGCCCAGAAAGTAGCTTTTCTGTGCCTTAGGAAGGAGGCTGAAAGTCTCACTCTGCAGAACCTTGGATGATTTTATATAGAAACAAGCAAACAGTTACTTGGTTTACCAACTCTTATCTGAGGATGTTTATGGAAAAGTTAGCAAGCTATTTTTTTTTGTATATCCTTTAAATTAAAAAGCGAAAAAACAAAATCATATAGGTAAACATTTCATACTATTTAAAAACACAGAATTAAAATATTTTTTCTATAGGTCCTTCAAGGTTCCTGCCTTTCTGTTTTACTATCTAATACGGTGCTCAATGAATTTTTTGTAGTGATGATTTACAGTTCAACAAAATGGCATCTAGATTTTCCTTAAACATGAAAATAAATTAATACCCACTGCCTCAAGTTTTTCTCATCATTCTTTTTTTTTTTTTTTCTGGTGCCAGGGATCGAACTTGGGTCCTTGCTCTTGCAAGGCAGGCGGCGGAACCACTGAGCTAAATCCCCGGCCCTTTCTCATCCTTCTTGAGTCTGGCCAGCTAGGCCTGCCAAGAGCCATCAGTACAATGCCCAGGAAATGCCTTCAGGGAGCACAGCGCACTAGATGCTAGACAAACACAAGTGCGCACTCTCACCCACATCAGGGTCCTCGGTCCCAATTTACCCGGGAGCAACCCAAAGCTCTGTGAGCTACAACACAGGCCCAGGCTGCATTGCTGTGAGGGGCACTCGCATGCAGCACCAGGCCAGGAAAGCTTGGGGGAGAGGGAAGCAGGTCTGTCTTGGTCACTATGGCATTGAACACTCCAAAGACAAGACAGGGAGGGACACCGCAAGAATTCAATAAACCTTCACTGATCTGACTCACCCTGTACCATTCAATGATTCTCTACACCACTGTTTCAGCTGACATCTGAATGAGTATCTGTTTCTAAAGATTAGCTTATTACTAGTTTGTAAGGGAATGAAACTACTCAACACTTTGGGGGTGCTTTTGCCCGTGAAAGTGATAAGTATTATAAAGGTACAGCTAGGAACCAGTCTTGCAGTAGCATATAATTCATAATTTGAGGGGAAAATATGAGTAGCCATAATATATACAAGCTGTGAGAAAAATATAAAAAAGGCATATGTACAAGAGACCAACACAGGGACAGAGGTGCATCAAACAAGGCAGGTTTCATTGGGGAGGCAGCATCTGCCTAAGACTCACAGGGACAGACAGCACAGGAAGAGCTTAAGCTGACCGTTCTACACAAAGAGAATTGCTCAGCTTGGCTAGCAAGGTGCAAGTGCAAATGATGCTACAGAAGGACTGGTACTCACGAAAGCCTGATGTTCCGGGGCACCCATTTCTTTGCCGTATTGTCAATATGCTAGTAATACTGGTTGTTTACAAAACATTTACCCACGGCAGATGTGTTGCATGCCATGATACAGTGCCTGCTCCCAGAGAGCTTATAAAGCACATGCTGCAGACACAGTCAGGAAAAGACCCAACACAAGGTGGACCCTAAACCCAGAAACAGGGGGAAGACATGCGGTATGGGGAGAGAGGGCACATACAGAGAGGTAGAGGTGCACTCAAGTCACTCGAGATTAATTGTTGGGCAGTGGGGAAATGAGTCGGAGAGAGAACATGAGGCGAGATCACCACAGGTTGCGGCAACCAATCCAATTCTGCCCCTCAGGCTGGTGTGCAAGGGTGCAGGGGCCATAAGAGCATCAGAAGCACACGATTTCCACAGATTATTTGGGAAGCTAGGAGGGGATACAGTAGAGTGGGTAGGGCTGAGAGAAAGATAAAAATGACAGGATTGTGGCACACCAGGAAGAGGACAAAATGCAGGGCTTTAAGACAGGGTATACATGATTTGCTGACCTGGAAATGAAGGACGAGGGCAAAGAGGCTGCATATAAGGAGGAGGTAGACACAGGGCTGGTGAGTCAGTTTTGGACAGGTGAGTGCGAGAAGCTAAGAGTTCAGCTATGGCACAGGCTGCTGGCACACACTGGGTGCACTCCCCTCCTGGCGTTAATAACAGGGGCCAGCCCATCCACTCTGGACAAATGGCTACATCAGAGACAACACCTGGCAGCTTTCCCAGAGGCTAGCCATGGCCAGACGATCCATTTCTGGCCGACGAGATATGAGAAGAACGACGGTGCGAGTTCCAGGTCACGTTCTGTCTTTTATAGAAGCTGCTTGCTCTCCAGTGTATCCTCCCTTGCTGCTGTCTGATGCACCAGCTGTCCTAGACCTAGAGGCAGAAGTCTCACACAGAAGTCTACAGCTGCCTGCCCACGAGCTGAACTCCTGCAGCCCCTGTGGCACAGAGATGCCCCCATTCAAGACCACTTGCCCACGCTGGGACTGTAACAGATCAGTTTCAACCTTGCTGAGCAACTCTGGAATCTCTGCTACAGCTGCTGGTAACCGATATGCTAACGAGTACCATCCCAGGATAGTTCCATTCAATTTTGAGAGTATATCCAATCATATTAGGTTCTAGAATTGTTAATATAATCTTTCACATGCTGGTAAGAGCTACAAATTGATACAGTATTTTTGCAAAGAATATAAGCAATAGCTAACGAAAGATTCAAATGCATGTGAATTCCAACCTGACAACTACAATTTCATAAATGTGTCTGCCAAATACATGTACACAATTATTCAGATACGTGTGCAAAGGTGTCTACAACACTTCTAACAGGCCCAAACAAACAAAATACAAGTAAGTTAAAAGGTATACTGTGGATCAAATTAATAAATTATGGCATAAAAATAACGCCATAACTAGAATGCAGGAACTTTATTACTATGGGAAAATGTCTAATACACATAAAGGAAAGAAGACACGTGGACAGAGTACACATAGTAAACTCCAGTCTATGCAAAAATACAAATACATGCTCTATGCCAGAAAGTACAGAGAAATAGTGACAAATGAGAGAGTTTCTCCTATCATAACTTTGTTTTTTAAAAACCATGTGCCCATTTTACATTAAAAAAAAACTGATTAAACAAAAGCATTTAAGTAAAAAGGTTAAACGATGCTCCTCTTGACGCTTGCTTGGAAGGTGGTGCAAAGGAGGCTGGAGGAGGAGGTGGCCAGGCACAAGGGACACAATTATAAATGTTCCCGGAACAATCTGAGGGTTCTGTTACCTCCTCCACCATTGAAATGAGGAAACCGAAGCTTGTGACAGATGAGGGAGTTACCTAAATTCCCAGAGTGGCCCCCATTGAACTGAGGTGTGCTTGACCACAGCACTTGTTTCCTCCCAGCACCATACTCTAATAACTCTAAGTTTTTACAAAGTAAACCTTGTGTCAAAGGGTCAGTGAGGATCAGTCCAGAAAACAAACTGAACTGTCCCGTTTCATCCAATAGCTTCCCTCTACCAAAGCACTTTTCCTGCTGCTGATGAAGGTAATTCAGTGACCCAGCTGGGTTTAATTGAAAAAGTAGTAACTGAAAATGAAGTGTGTGAGGAGATACATATGTCGGATCAGATTTAAATATCATGTAACACAGTATACATGTATCAATAAAACACAATTAATGAGCCAGGGGTTTGGCCCAGTAGTTCCGCTGTCTGCCTCACAAGTCCAAGGGCCCAAGTTAGGTCCCTGGTACCAAAAAAACAAACAAACAAACAAACAAAAAACCCCACAACTAATGATACCACACTAACCTGTATCAGTTAAAAATAAATTTAAATTTAAAGAAACATTTGTGGAAAATGTACTGTACATGTTTAATACAAATGCAATTTTTTCTCATTATTCCCTAAATTACATAACTATTTACTTTGTATTAGGTTTTATAAATAACCTAGAGGTGACTTAAATGTGTATGGGAGGATGTACATAGACCAGATGCAAATGTTACCCCATTTGATAGAAGGGACTTCAGCATCCACGGACTTTGGTATCCATGTAGGGTCTGTGTAATTAGTAAACATCTTTGCTGAGATAAAATACCCAATGCTCAAAGTTAAAGGAGGAAAGGTTTATTTGGCTCACAGTTTGTAGAGGTTTCAGTTGATAGCTGGCTGGCACCAAGGCTCAATAGCACAGCAGAAGACAGCAAGGAGCACGCCTTTTCCGGTCCCTTCTATCTTATCCAGGCTTCTTGCCCTTAAAGCGGGCAGCACTCATATCTTTAATCCTAGCATCTCACAGTAAATCAACCTAGCCTCACATCCTTGATCCCAGCATCACACAGCCTTGATCCAGCTGCCTTCGCAAAGCTCCACCTATTGTTACATGAGGCTTTGGGGAGACATACAGACACAAGCCATAATAGTAAATGAAGCTAATTTCAAAAAGTCACATGTTGTATAATCCATATATTCTTGAAATGACAAAATTAGAGATGTAGAATAGATTAGCGGTT